AGCCTGAGGATGCAAAAGAGAAGGGGTCCCCTTACACCCAGCCCTCCCTAGGGAAAGCTGCTCTTTGCATCTCCTGCCCACAGCCTTCAGAGACTGCAAATAAATCTGGAGTTTATTCAAACCAGACGCTGGGTAATAAATGATGGCTGGTGGCCCTGAGTGCAGCTGGAACCATGAGTGACAGAAAGGCTTAGCCGGGGTGGGGGGGGAGCAATTCAACTCTGAGAAGACTGGACACCCCACGGGGCCCCTGTGTGGTTTCCTGTCTCATTTCCCTGCTTCGTGGAGTAGGACCTAACATTTACAATTCCACTCATAAGGGCAGTGAGAAAAATGTCCTTGCCTTTGGTTCCAAGACCCAGAAAAGTGCCTTGGAAAAGCTCAGACTAGCCCCTTTGGAGGTCGTGGCTCCACAGGGCCCTGCAGCCACCGTCCAACACCTGTGCCTGGCCACGACCCGGGTCCCCACGGAGCAATGGGCCTCTACCTCAAAGGTTCCACGGGGCATGGAGGAGAGAAGCTGAAGCTTGTACCAGTCATTTTCTTTTTTTTTTATAATGTTTTATTTTATTTTATTTATTTACTTTTAGAGAGAGAGAGAGAGAGAAACATCAATGTGCGGTTGCTGGGGGTTATGGCCTGCAACCTAGGCATGTACTCTGGCTGGGAATCGAACCTGGGACACTTTGGTTCCCAGCTCGCGCTCAATCCACTGAGCTACGCCAGCCAGGGCTATATTTTCTTTTTAAAAAAACACTTTATTGAGGTATGTGACATATAAGAAGCTGTGCATATTTCACATATACAACTTGAGGAATTTGGAGATAAGTATACACCATGAAAACATCACCATAATCTATGCCATAAACATACGCTGTTGGGAGCCACCCTGCCTGGTTTCAGGAGCTATCCCCCTCCACCCAAATCTCTGTGCCCCACGTTGGGCACCAGCTGACGCAGACACCGGCCCGCAGTGTCCAGAGTGTCATGGATGAGACATGAGACATTCACATGGACTACGGAGTCCTGTGTGGGGGAAAAGGGACGGCCCAGCTACCCTCTCAAGGGGAGGGTGCCTCGGAGCGGCCTGGCCACCCTCTCAAAGGAGAGTGCACCGATCCTTCCCTTCACAGGTTTTTTTATTGGCTTTCCATTTGCACAGGAATACAGGTAAAGCTCATTAATCACTGTCAGGCAGTAAGGTTCAAACAATAGATAACATACAAAGAACTCTGAGGGCCTATTCTGAGTCAGGGTCTGTTCGCTAAAGGGCTACAAAATTTTTGGGAAATAAACTCATTTCCTGCTCGGACCTTTATCATTTAATTAAGAGCATTCTTAGTGAAGCAGGTTTCACAGGGGCTTATGTATTCTTTCTTAGGCCTGAGCACCCTGGGAACCTGCCCTTTCCAGCACAGGGCTGCACCACCCTCTGTCATTGTTTCAGGATTAAGCCAGGCAGAGGGAGCAAGGCAGCCAAGAGATTAGGAGACTCCTCGCAGGCAGAATGAGGACTCAGGCTTTGTCAAAGCCGAGGAGCAAGGGGGCTCCATCACCCCCTTTTGCTGTAGCCCCCCAAGTCCTTTCTTGGGGGCCTCCCTGTGATCGTGCCTGTCTTATGATAGTTCCCCCCTTGGGGAATCTTACCCGTCATTGGCTAACCGACCAAGCACTGGGGGCCAGTTATGGAAAAAGGAGCAGAAGTGGTGCTCCTGCCAGGGAGATAAGCTTTGTCTCCTTACAGGCTTATGATTTGAATGTCGCTCACTCAGCCTTAGCCATGGGGGGGTTACAGCTCCTGAAACCAGGCAGGGTGGCCCCCAACAATATCCACCCACTCAAGAGTTCTTTTTCTACTCTAGGGAATTAGAGTAGTTTAATATGAGGAGGCCTTTTAGTCCCCAATTAAACGTATGGGCTTGGACAATAATAACAATAAAAAGAATAATATTCTCCCTATGAAGATCTATGTAATCCTCAAGATACGCTCAAAGATGAGGTGGAGTTTAACACCAACCGTCATTTACTTTAACTGAGATGACTCCTTTAACCGATTAAAATAGTCCTGTGAGTGGGTAATATGTCTTATAATAGCTAACATCATTCTATATAAAACAGGCACCCAACAAGTGTTTGCTAAATGGAAGAAAATAATATGTAATTCATTATCTCTGCCCTTCTCTCTCCCTCCCTCCCTCTCCCTCTCTAGATAGATAGATATATAGATAGATTATATGGCAGGTCACATAATGCATTATACTGTATCCACAAAGATTTTTTCAATATCTCAAGGGTCATAACCCTGAAAGAGATATAAAAAAATCAGAGTACCCAGATTCTTACCTTATTCTAGTCTTATGAATTTATGCTTCCCCACAATCTCTCTCTATGAAAGCATCTCCTATCATCAATTTCTATCTGATGAATTCTACCTTACTAGAGAAAGGTTCACAGAATTTAACATTTGAAAATTGCTATGAATTCGAAATGCCATGAATAATTCATGTAATTTGAAAAGTGTTTCTACAGGGCACGCATGAATAAGCGTGAAGATATGAGAACCATATTATAACTGTAGAAAATGGCAACACCTAAATGAATGAATTAATGTCTTATACCTGCTTTGCAGTGATTCTTATAAGAATGTCTCAGGAAAATTGCTTCATTGAAAAGTCAGTTTACAAGAAAGTAAAATAACTAGGGCAGAAACCTGAAGACCCATGTGACAGCACTTTGAACTTTGACAAGTATTAACCTAAGGCAGGGGTGTCAAACTCATCCTCACCGGGGGCCACATCAGCCTCGTGGTTGCCTTCAAAGGGTCAAATGTAATTTTAGGACTGAATAAATATAACTACTCCTTAACAGTTAAGCGAGAGTTCGGCGCTGCTTTCGGGTAGAAACAAGGTGCTAGGCCGAATAAAACAAGGTGGAGGGCAAGATTCGGCCCGCGGGCCTTGGGTTTGCCACCTGTGACCTAAGGGAAGCATCAGGTAAGAAGACAGCGGCCCTTTAGGAACAATGGTTCAGACAAAATGAGAGACGGTCCTGGATCCCTGTAGTTCTACAAATCTGACTGCATTTGAAAGGGCTTCCATAATTGCTCAACTCGGCCCATAGGATGCACCGTCCAGGACAACCAGCCTCTTATAAGTAACCTCATCTTCCAGGCCCTACGGAGCACAGACCACACCCCTGCGGCACACCCGGGGCTCAGAGGAAGCCCTCCATCGCTTGGCACGTCCTTCCGTGGGATAACTTGGCCTTGTTCTTCGATAGCACTGACAATAGTCACCCAATGTAAATGAATCAAAATTATATCTGTTTTTGTCAGATCAGCAAAAAATATATATTTTAATGTGTCACAGAATTTTAGTAATTAGTTTATGTGTACTGTAAGATGAAAAAGGTTGAAAATCGCTGGTTTGGAACATAGTTTTCTATGTTCATCATTATCTGAACATCAATTATAAAAAAGTAAAAACCTTAAAAAGACAATTAAAAAATTAAAATGTTTAAAGTACCAAACTTTAACCTAGGAAAATGCATCATCTCAAGACTACATTTTTTCTATGGCATAATCAAGGTAACATTCCTTGACTTGTGAACAACTTCTAAAAGTGGACAGAGTAAAACATACACATGTACAGAATAACACAAATAACACAAAGGACAAGGACACACACACACAACACAGCCAGCTCTAAACCGCAATAAACATGTTCTCAGGTATGTAAGTTATCCGTCAGCATTAGGCACTTCCTGTGATCACAGCTCCCATTTCAACCTGCATTCATAGCTCCTGTGGCTCTAGTGAGGTCCTCTAGAATCTGAACATAACTTCTATTTGAAAGTTGAATAAGTGAAAATCAACACACTGATAATTTAAACAACTCTCAAGCTAAATTACCTGAAAATTGTGTTGCAAAATGTTGGCTTTTAATTTTTCAAGTAAATATCCAACTCACTGATAAATGAATATTCAGAAAGTCATGGTAGGCATATAATTCATAGAAAATTGTAAATTGTTATTCATTGTAGTTACGGAGTAATTGCGTGTTAAAAGGTCAAAAGTCCCATGTTTTACTTGGAATCTTGAAAAATAAGAAAAGAAGCCAAAGTTATTAGAGCTCATTGAGCCCATCCAGCTGGGTTCTGATTACAAAACTGTGATTCACAGGGGTTATTTTTCTCTACGGTTTTGAAAAACTACCCCTCCATATTTTTCAGTTTCATTTTCTCCAATTCTGAGTTGCTTGAGCCACGTTTTTATTTTTGATACATTTCTCAGATTTTTGACCAGAGGCCTGGGGCGTCATGGACAATGGGAGTGAAGACTCCTTTTCCTGGGAAGAAATGCCCCCACTTCTGAGGGCGGAGATTGGCCCCGGGGTGGCCAAGCTGCTGAGAAGCAAAGAAAAGACCTACCTGCCCTGAAGCAAAGTCAGAGGGCGCAGCTCCGGGTCAGGTCTGGTCGCCGTGTCCACTCCTCCAGCCCCTTCGCACCTGGCTGGTGTCGCTGCTGGCCGCGGAGAAGGCGCCCCTGGCGCCAGGAGGTCCCCCCAGGCCGCGGGGCTGGGGGGCGGGTACTGGGGGCTCCTGCACGGGCTCTGAGCGAGCTCGAGCCTCGGGACCCGGGGAGGCACTCTGGGGCTGCAGAGCCGGCCCTGGGGACAGGGCCCCCCAGCAGCAGCACAGTCCCCGGGTCGCGGGCCTTCGAGCACTGAACACCAGGCCAAGCTGCGGGCGTCCCACGCGCTGGGCAGTCCGGAGTGATTGGCCAGCTGTTGAGACCCCGCCCCCTTGCCCTTTTGACCTCTCTTTCTGGGCGCTGGACTTGTGTGCATCTTTCTAGGTGACCAGCCCTTTGTATTATTGATCTACCGAGTGTTTTTTCTGTTGTAAATTTCAGTATTTCCTACTCTTCGTTATTTCCCTCTGTGCTTGCTTTGACTGCATTTTGCTCCTCTTTTGCTAGGTCATTGAGTTAACAACATGTATTACTCTTTTGAGATATTTCCTCTTTTCTATCGCGTGCTTTTATCAATGTTTTTCCCTCTCAGCACTTTAATATGTTCTATTTTCATTTCAGTCAGGTCAGTGGTTTTTTTTTTTTTAATTTCCCTTGAGACTTCTTTGACTTATAAATTATTCAATAGTGTTTTTCTTTTATTTCCAAGTGTTGGCAATTTCCCTATCTTTCTTATATTGACTTTTAGTTTTGATTCCATTGTATTTCGATAACTCATTCTGTATAACTTTTAAAATTTTTTGATGGCATATTTTTTTATGGCTTAGAATATGTCTATCTTGGTGTGGTCTGTCGGGACTTGAAAAAAGTGTCTTTTGCTGTTATTGGTGGAATATTTTATAAATGTGGGTTAGATTCTTTTGGTGGCTGGGGTCGTTGAGTTCATCCATATCCTTGCTAATCTTCTGTCTAGTTGCTCTATCCCTTGTTGAAATGGGGTTGCTGAAGTCTCCAGCCACATGTGCATTTCTCTCTGTCTCCTTCCAATGTTACCAGTTTTTACATCACATATTTTGCATCTCTGTTGTTTGGTGCATACACATTTAGGATTGCTGTGTCTTCTTGGTGGAGTAAACTTTTGTCATTATGTAATATCCCTCTCTGCTTCTGGTCATTTTCTTTGCTTTATCTGTTGCTAATATAGCAATTCTTCCTTTCCTCTCATTAATGTTTGCATGATATATCTCTTGCCAACCTTTTATGTCAGCCTACCTATTTGGTTTATTTGAAGTGAGTTTCTTATAGACACCATACAAGGAACAGAAGGAAGAATAATGCTTTTTAATACACCCTGCCCTCCTTTGTCTTCAAATTGGCTTATCAAGACATTTACCTGTAATCTAATTATTGATACTTTAGGGGTTAAGTCTGACATTTTATATTTTCCAGTTCTATTTTTTGTTTATTTTTCTTTCCATCCTTTGCATTTCTTGGGCATTTGTCTTACAATTCCACTTTGATTTGTCTGTAGTGTTCTTAGAATATCTCTTTGTTCAGCTTTTCACTGCTTTGTGTAGCTCATTTGTTGCTCTAGATATTGTAAGTACATAATCACATTCAACTAATGTTATTTTTTCAACCAGTTTGAGTGAAGTATAGAAATCTTCTTTTTATGCCCCTTTACTCTCTCCAATTTATAATTGTCCTCAGTGTTTCCTCTACGTAAGTTTAGAATCACACCAGACAATGCTGTGGTTTTTTCTTTTTGAACCATCAAATATAAGTTAGAAAACTCAAGAGGATAAGAAAGGCTATGGAATTTACTGGCAATTTTGTTTACCATGTTTTTTCCTTCCTGATGCTCCAACTTTCCTTCTTTTCTACTTTTGTTTCTGTTTAAAGAATACATTTTTAAAGGACAGTTTCATTGTGTGTAGAATTCTATGTTGACAACTTCATTTTGGCTTCTACAGCATTTAGTGAGAAGTCAGCTATAATCTTATTGTTGTTCCTTTGAAAGTAATTCATTTTTTTCCTGGCCAATTTTAAGGCTTTTTATTTATCTTTCATTTTCAGTAGTTTGACTAATATATTTCCAGTGAGGTTTACTTTTTCTTTTCACTTTCCTTTATTGTTGTTCACATACAGGTTTTCTTTATATGATACCCTGCTTGAGTTTTCCTGAGCTTCTTGCATCTGTATCGTTGATATAGTTTGTCAAGAAGTGTAGAACTGATATGGAAGTGAAGTAACTAGGGAATAAGTCTGCCTTTCATTCTGTATGTTATAAAACATAAATGGGAGGAAAAAATAAAAACAGAAGCCAAAGAGAAATGGAAACATTTCTATAAGGACTTGTAAGATAGTATCATCTGATTTTTGTTCAACACTGAATATTTTTCTTTTCCTTTTTTTAAATTTTATTTTAATCATTATTCAAGTACAGTTTTCTCCCTTTTACTCCCATTCCAGGCCACCCACCCAACCCTCCCCACTTCCCTCCCATTACCACCCTCCCCCTAGCTTTTGTCCATGTGTCCTTTAAATTAGTTCCCGTAAACCCTTTCCATTCTCCCCTGAAATTCCCTCTTCTCTCCCCTCTGGTCACTGTCAGCCTGTCCTCTATTTCAGTGTCTTTGACTATATTTTGCTTGTTTCTTTATTTTGTTGTTTAGGTTCCTGCCAAGGGTGAGATCATATGGTATTTGCCTTTCACTGCCTGGCTTGTTTTGCTTAGCATAATGCTCTCCAGCTCCATCCATGCTGTCGCAAAGGGTAGGAGCTCCTTCTTTCTTTCTGCTGCATAGAATTCCATTATGTAAATGTACCATAGTTTTTTGATCCATTCATTTACTGATGGGCATCTAGGTTGCTTCCAGCACTTAGGTATTGTAAATTGTGCTGCTATGAACATTGGGGTGCAAAGGTTCTTTTGGATTGGTGTTTCACGGGTTCTTAGGGTATAGTCCCAGCAGTGGAATTGCTGGGTCAAAAGGCAAATCCATTTTTAGTTTTCTGAGGAAGTTCCATACTGCTTTTCCATAGTGGCTGTACCAGTCTGCAGTCCCACCAACAATGCACTAGGGACCCCTTTTCTCCACAACCTCTCCAACACTTGTTGTTTGTTGCTTTGTTTGTGATGGCCATTCTGACCAGTGTGAAGTGGTATCTCATTGTGGTTTTAATTTGCATCTCTCTGATAGCTAGCGATAACACTGAATATTTTTCAACTCTAGTTAGAGCACTTGGAAATTATTGGCTACCCCACAGCGAATCTCATCCCTTCCCTCACTCGATTCTCAGTTGGCATTATAGAAATAAGCTGCTCTGCGATCATTGTAGGTATGAAGCTACTCTCTAGAGCAAGAAGTTTTTCCTCTGGATGTTTATTTCTCCAAAATTTACCACCTGTTACCAGGTAATGTGAATGTTGGTGATCAAACTGGTTACTTAGGGGAAGTGTTAACACTGTTTCTGCAATTCAACCACAAAAAAGATGTTTTCTTAACACACTACTAATCTAGTTCTTGAAGAAATGGGCTCTATAAGTTTCTGTAGCATCAAGCATATAATCCACAATCCAGGTGCCTCATCTCTGAACAGAACTGCTCAGGGACTATCCTTGCACATCAAACTTTCCCCCACGTTCAGTCTCGGACCATTCCCATTCTCTTATCCAACTTTGCTGTTAGTTAGTTTTTCTCACTTTTAAGTCATCCTCAAACTACATCTCAAAGAGAAAAGGTTCTGCTTAGTCAAATTTCTGTCCACCCTTCACCTGGCCCTCACCTGCAGCACCCTACCCAAGGCGTCCTTCACCTGAGCGTTCCTCAGGCTGTAGATGAGGGGGTTTAACAATGGGTTGAAGAGATTATAAAACAGGGACAGTATTTTTTCTTGTTCCTTTTTTTGATTGGACTCTGGGACCATATAAATAACCATGGCTATGCCAAAGAAGAACCCAACCACACAGAGGTGGGAGGAGCAGGTGGAGAAGGCCTTCCTGCGGCCCTCCCCAGACTGGATCTTCAGGATGGTCCAGAGGATGCTGGTATAGGATACCAGCACCAAGCAGAGGGGCCCGACTAAGATAAAGACGGAAGCAGCAAAGATGACAGCTTCGTTGAGCCAGGTGTCAGCACAGGCCAGCTCGAGGACAGACAAGAGCTCACAGAAGAAGTGGTTTACTTCCCGGGGCCCACAGAATGGGAGCCTCAGAAGGAGAATCACATGTATCAGAGCCAGGACAAATCCACACAACCAGGACGTGGCAGCGAGGACCGTGCACACGCTCCAGCTCATGATGACCGTGTACTGGAGGGGGTGACAGATGGCCACGTACCGATCATAGGACATCGCCACCAAAATCAGGCACTCTGTGAGAGCAAAAGCTATATACAAAAATGTCTGCATAACGCATGGGACAAAGGAGATGGCTCTATTCTGAGTCACTAAGTTTGCCAGCATCTTGGGGACATTGTTGGAAGCAAAGGACATGTCAATGATGGCCAGGTGGGAGAGGAAGAAGTACATGGGGGTGTGCAATCTCTGGTCCAGACAGATGAGCGCAAAGATCATGCCGTTTGCCAGCAGACTGCAGGTGTAGAGCAGGGAGAAGACCCAGAAGAGGAGCACTTCCGTCTCTGCGCTGAGCTGGAATCCCAGCAGCACGAACTCTGTGACCCATGACCAGTTTCCCCCCATTCCTTAAAGAGAGTCTGGCAAGGACAGGAGAGCAATAGAAAGATCAGAGCTACAGAATCAATAAAAATTGAAATTACTGAATACAAAAAAACATATGTCCATATGCTAGCCTCTATTATGTTTCAATTATTTTCCATCTTAATCTAACAAACATTTCAAAACCCCATTTAGAAAGGAAAGACAAGCTATTTAGCATAATGTGAGATTGTGTCATTGGTAACAGAGCCATGCAGACAAATTCTTCATTCCAGAGCCTCCACTTCAGCTTTTCTGGCTCCTTTTCGAGAATCTGATACAGTTCACTAATTTAAAAGTATTTGCCTTAACTGGTGGTTTACTTTTGGCTTCAAACGTCTTACAATTCTAGAACTTTATTTTACTTATTCACTTAATGCCTTCACGTATTTTTCTTTCCATGTAAAGACTTTGCTGACAACAGACAGTTTTAAGTCACAGGTCAAACTTTCAAAAGGTTTATTCATAGTGGATAAGATCTGTGTCTTCCCTGAAATGTGACCATTTTCTATTTCTTTTTAGAAACAACAACAAAAAGAAACATCATGTAAATAACAAAAATCTATGGTTTCAGGTAAGCAATTGGATTATTTTGTTGTGTGAATGTCTAGTCTTGCAGTGCATATATATGCACCTATTGTATGTTAGAAACTTTTAAAAATGATAAATGTGATATCTATCCTTTGATTTTCCTTTGGCAATAACACTTTTGAACCTTCATGTCACAATCTTCTATGACATTTAACCATTGAGTGTTTTTTGTTTTTGTTTTTTTTCATTTCATACATATACTGTAACTTAGTGAATCTCACTTCCTGGCCATCAGATTAGGGACAGTGTGCCTTCCATTTACCATGTGTCAGGGGGCAGTGTGCACATGCCTGTGTGCACACAAGCAATACGTGTGTGTGTGTGTGAATATATGTTGTATGCATCATACTCTTGTTTTTCAATGAAAATCTTAGCATACGTTCCTAGGAGTGAAATTCCTAATGAAACACGCTTTCATTTTCTGGTGAGTAGAGAAATAAAAGCAAGCAAGAGATAGTTTAAAGTTCAACCTGGGCCAGACTCCCTCAGTGGAGAAGGTGGCTGCCTCTGCAATTTAGACTTGGTAAACCCGCATTCAGACTTCCCTTGTGGTTGTCCTACCTGACGGGTACTTCTTACTTATTTTTAAGATTTTATTTATTTATTTTTAGAGAGAAGGGAAGGGAGGGGGAAAGAGAGGGAGAGAAACAGCAATGTGTGGTTGCCCCCATGCGCCCCCAACTGGAGACCCAGCCTGCAACACAGGCAGGTGCCCCAACCGGGAATTGAACTGACAACCCCTTGGTGCACAGGCCAGGGCTCAATCCATGGACCCACACCAGCCAGGCCTGATGGGTACTTCTATTGTGCTGGACCCCAAGAGGTGTCCGCTTTAAACCTCTGACGAACTGGGAATAATTCACCCACTTTGGGTTGCTCTTGCCATTACCTGATAAGTGGTAGATGAGAAAGCAACAACGATTTTGCTGATTTTGTGGGGCGGACTGTCTTGCTCCAGCTGCCAATACACAGCCCACCACCTCCACCACCAGCTCACAGCTCCTTCCCAGTTGCCTCAGATGCAGAGATGCCACACCCCAGTGTGGGTACATCCTACGCTACCCACCACTGATTGGTGGGGACAGGAAGGCCCCGCCCCCTGCGGCGCAGCTCCCTGCAGCCCAGCTGGGGAAACTGGGGTCCTATGTGCTTCAGAGCTGCCTGCAGGATTTACTGAACCTTTACTGAGCTGAGATGGAAGGTTTCCTACCTCCCCCTCCCTTCTGCATGTACTGATCCCTAAAAAAGTATTCTGTATTGCAAATGCCATCTCAGCGTCCACTTTTGGAGGATCCACGCAGGGACCACAAAACAATATGCCAACCTTCCTCCTCCCCTAATTTCTACCCTTGTGACTGTGCCTGGATCCAGCTGCCCTCCGGTCCCCAAGGGTTAACACACTTCAGACACACCTCGTCTTAGTTTCTTACTTGCTAGGTTTCTGAGGTTTTCTAAATGGCAATGCCATCCTATACGCCACCCTTTCTAATCCTCCTGCGTCATACCCAGGGGACACAACGCAACAGATACACCCCAAGTCCTCCGGGCCTTATGCAGTGACGTGAATCTTACACTCACACAGAGTCGGAGGTGGGGGAGGCAGCCCCCTCTCCTCTTGCGGCCGTGCGGTACGGGACACGCGTCCTCGGAATCACAGCGGGGAGACAGAAGGTGCACACCCGTTCACTGCTGCCTCAGCTGGGAAACGACGCCCATCATTTCCACTCACTTTTTAGGCCAGAAACACTCATCTGTGTGCATTCAAACTTAAGGGAAGGCTAGTAAAAATAGAGGAAATTAAATGGACGCTTAACAGCCTCTGCAACTCCCGAACACTTGATTGTTTTCACCGGCTTACCAGCGCTGACTGTGCTTATGTCTTTCCCACTCCATGCTCAGTGACGGCATATCGATTGCTTGAAATTGGCCCTGGTGGGAATATTTACACCACAGACATTGGCACATGCTATAAATAAGGTTCCCCTCCCCTTTAGAAAGCATGTGTTAAGCATTTATCATTGTTTATATACAATATTTGTTAAACTCGATCCCTTGTAGTTACTTTTCTCTCAATGTTAGGCTCTATGCTGAGAATTACATTCTTCCTTACATAACTGACATCAGAAGCAAGACTTTTCAGCCTGAACTTCACAGCCTGCTACACAGAAGAGAATAAATTTATCACGTGTTGTTATCTAGCATAGCATTGCAGCATTTACATGCACATGGTAGATGTCATTTTATCTTGCACAAACACAGCAAATTTTCCACATAGACAATAAGTAGTTTTCAGTACGCTGTAAGTTAAATTTACTTTTGTACTAAAATTACAATTCCTCATATATATGATCACCTTTGTTTTTTTTTAAACAAAGATTTTATTTACTTATCTTAGGAAGAGGGGAAGGGAAGGAGAAAGAGAGGGAGAGAAACATCAATGTGTGGTTGCCCCTCAGGGGCTCCCTACTGGGGACCTGGCCCACAACCCAGCCTTGTGCCCTGACTGGGAATCGAACCGGTGACCCTTTGGTGTGCAAGCCAGTGTTCAATCCAACTGGGCCACACCAGCCAGGGCAATCACCTTTGTTTTTTAAGACCCATGCAAGTAGTGTGATCTGAGTAATGAACACATATGGGCAGTGATTATATATTCTTTTGGACACGTGAGATGTTGCCTGGAGAAGCTGTGAGATCCATCTCGGGTGCACGCACAGACACACACCTGCTGTATCCCCTGACCTATTCTCAGACATTCAAAGGGATGCCTTCCAGGGCATGACAGTCCTGTGACTTCCTGTGAATTCCCCGCCATGACTTCCTGTTTGATTAAAGAGCTCTCTTTGCTTATGTAAAAACAATTCCCATAAACAAGGGCCAGCCAACTCATCCTGTCTAGGCTCAGCCAGCAGTCAGGGCAAAGAGGGCATGGCCCTTTCCGCAATGGTGTGGAGTCAAGGCTGTTCTGGGCACTAACTCATCACGAATGGGGAACCTCTACAAGCTGATGTGAAATGTGCAGTGTTGGTCCAAGTTTTCAGTGAAAATAATTATACCGTCACTGTAATTCTCTAGTTATTTCTAAAGACAGAGTCAAGGATGAAATAGTGAAGAGTGTGGTACCGAAGGCCTTTCAACTGGATTCAAATGCTTCCGGCATAAAAAAGTGGATATGATAGTGTTATCATACACATCTTTCTGCCCTTCTGAGTGGAAACTATGATGTTTTTGTTAAATGAATGCGTGCCAGATCCAGTGAAAAACACTTCCTTTGAGGACTAAACGCAGGGCCGAGTGAAAGTTACTGAGTGCACAAAACAGCTCACTTATTCTTGTGTTGTTATTTATTAATGATCGTACTATTTTCCACATGAACAACTGTGACCCTACTTTTGGTCCACGCTGTACATATAGATCCTGTGTGTGGGCAAAGCTGTTATTTTTGCTTTCAATAAGTAAAATGTTTACCATTAGATGTTCATGATTTGGCAGTCATTTTAGTCTATCATATTGGGCTGTTATAAACCTCTAGAAAAATTATAACACTCAAATGCATTTTCTAGTTTAGGTCTGCTTTGCACTTCTAATTTGGAGACGTCTGAAGAGGAAATTGTACGCATCCAAGGAAGAACTGCTTAAAGCAGCTTTGAAATCACAGTTGAACGCGTGGCAGAGTTTTAAAGCTTTTAAACAAAGAACCCGAGAGAAACATCAGTTAAAGCGGAATGGTGTCTCTTAGAAGTAAAATCTCATATGACCTTCCAGACTTTTCTTTTCTATAAATATGATCCAGTGAGGGGTGATTGTACAGAACAGTGCACTCGGTAAGGGATATTAAATTTAGCTACAAAAATAATTGTCTAGAGTTCAGGATAGGGTGAGAAACCTCAGGAATATATCAATCTTTTTAGACACTATTAGAAACAACCAGCAATGATTTAAATACATTTAATCTCTAAGCTGAAAAGGTAATACTTTATTTTTTATATATATATTTTAGAGAGTGGAAGGGAGGGAGAAAGAAAGGGAGAGAAACATCAGGGTGTGGTTGCCTCTCACGCACCCCTCACTGGGGACCCGGCCCACAACCCAGACATGTGCCCCGACTGGGAACTGAACCGGCGACCCTTTGGTTTGCAGGCCCGTGGTCAATCCACTGAGCCACACCAGCCAGGGCAAAAGGTAATACTTTAAATAAGGATAACCCATTTCTACTGATTAGAAACTTTTGCCTCTCTGCATCACAATCTTACTTCCCAGGTTATTTTTTGCAGCTGTGTGTGTTTTTTTTTAATTCTAAATTATCCGATCCTTTCTTCTGCAATTTTAGGTACCATTATATTAATATTTTTCAACTGGCCAAAACTAAAAACAAAAGTTAAGGTATCACATAACAG